CAGAGTTTTACAGACAGGAGAAATCAGCCTATTTTTTTGCAAGCTGTCTATAAAATTACAGACAGTTGGCAACCCTGCATGGGGCACACAGACAGAACACTGATCTGGAATAGTAGAGGGAGGGACTAAATACCCTTCCAGCATTTGGTGAAGATTAAATTCTGGGATCTACTGGCTAGGTAAACACCTACTAGCAGACACTGTAACTACAAACATCAGGTTTGGGTACCACAATGCCAGCAGCAGGTGATTCAGTTCTTGACACTGGTCTTCTGTTCACATGTTCTCTAAGTTCTACCAGGTGGATGTTTCAGCCTCATCTGATGATTGCTTTGAATGTATGGTCCTTTAGGCAGCTCTGTGAGTCTCTCAGTTGGATATCTTTTGGACATCCCCAAACCATTAAATACCTTATGTATCCCTTAAAGAATGAGAGAGAGAAAATCAAATTTTTGTAATCGCCATAAAATCTATTTCTTGGAGTTCATATAGGGACATCCTGCTCTGTGTTTCAAGACATTCTCTTGAAACTGCTTTATTGCAAACCTGAGAAATGCTAGTAGTGGGAAGGGTGTATTTTCTAGATTGGCCTACAGTTTTATGTTTGTCACTGTCCAATTCTTCTGTCGGTGTCATTATAACCCAAAGGATAAAAACTTCCTGTGACCCTCCAGAAAAGGACGGTACGGTGATTGCAAAAATTCTATTTTATCCCTACCATAGTGCACTGCTAAACATGTTCTACGTGGCACAAACAATATTTTTTCTAACAAACCTAAAAAAAGTTAAATAATAATGGATGGACTTGTTTGTTTATCCATCTTCTGCTAGGTGCTCTATTCTAGGTACTCTCTTTTATCAACAACTTTGTGAAAGTTTAAAAATATAGGACTAATATTTCAGTCTAATGAATCTTAATAGAAGTAGTATGCTTTGTGTAGAATTGGCTGCTAATATGTTAAACACTGGCAGACCAGTGGTAATTTCATTGATGCTAGTGAATACCTGCAGACTTTTCTCAGTTTGTTGATGTAATAACTTGGAAACCAGTATGCACTTTGAATTGACTGGGCTGGAATTATAGTGCACACACACTGCTCTCCAACTTGATTCAGCAATGATAGGTTTATCTGGGTTAACATATAATCTTCATACATGACTGAGGTCATGTAGGGCACAATGTAAATTATCTGCAGTACATATTTCTGCCTGATTTTTGATCAGTTTATATGCAGTCTATACTGCATGTTCTGTATGTCACACTTATTGATGAGCTTAACACCCCCTTGTTTGGTTTGCATTAGAATCTAATTAAAGTTCGACCCTGAACTTCAAACGTATTGCAAGCCTATGGAACTTGAACTTATAAATTCAATAGTGCCCATTTTGAAGGTTTATATGCAAGTTATTGGCCATAAAAGGGTTATGGGGACCTGGGTACTGCCCTGAGGGACATGAATCCAGTAAAAAAAAAAAAAATTAAAAAAAGTACCGTTTTTAAAGGGGCAGTCATATTTCATTGCTTAAAGTAAAACAAAATGAAAAATTTCTTTAAATATCATGTCTGGGGGTAGCCTTAAACTAAAGTTGCACATCCGTACAATGTATAGAACCTGCTGCAGCAGGACTGATTATTATTGTTTCTTAAATGACCGTTTTATTATTATTAAAAAAAAAAACACGGCGTGGGGGCCTTGTACCACGTGTCAAGCTGTGACCAATCACAGCTCACACAGTAGGTCTCAATGGCTGCAAGAATGCAGCTAGAGAGAAGGAGAAATGATTGCTTTTACATCCTTTTATGGGTGTAAAAGCAATCTGTGTTAAAAAAAATAAAAAATCTTCTTCACCCCCCACAAGTAGTACAGTGTCACCATGGTGACACTGTACTGCTAGGGTGACAGTATGTAAAAAGAAAATAAATAAAAAAATGTAAAAAGTTGAAAGTATAATTTTTGGTTATAATTTGGGTTATATATATATATATTTTTTTTTTTTTTACTAAAAATATAATGGAATAAATTTTGGCCAAGATTTAGGATGAAATACTATTTATTTGCAAAAAAGAAAAACACTTTTTTTTTCAAAATTTTTGGACTTTTTAATTTACAAAAAAAATAAAAATCCCATGTAAAAAAAGTACCTGTATCTATATATTGCCCCCTCACCCTCTCATACTTACCTGAGCCTGATCTTAATCCAGTGCTGTACCTGTCATCAGCTCTCTCTGCTCACATTAATCAAATTCCATGAGCAGAGAGCAGGGGCGGGACTGAGCCCCACTATCTGTGTCTATTTACACAGGCAGAGTGGCTTGGGAGTAAGCTCGCTGGTGGGCCCCCATGGGGAGCTGCTTCATATTGGGGCACACCAAGAAGAAGAGGAGTGGAGAGTGCTTGTGGGGGGCCCAAGAAGAGGAGGATCACGGCAGCTCTATGCAAAACCATTGCACAAATAGGGAAGTACAACGTGTTTTTTTTTTTTTTTTTTCTTTTTTTTCTTTTAAGCTTTACAATCACTTTAAAGATATGAAGTGAATATTTAAACTTTCTTATAACTATGGATATAAAGGCTTTTCTTGATATTCATAAAAACGCTGGTATTATTAAAGTTTAACTTCGGAAGATCGCTAATACACAGTTATGTGGGAGTTGGGTTACCTGCCAAAAGATTTGTATTTATGCAATCCTTTCCTAAAATTTACTTAGCCCTTCTACCTTGTACATCCAGTCTAGTGATGTATCTTGGTTTAACTGCAGCAGCAAAAAGACAGATCAACTCCCTACCCTCAGCCTGCAATTGGCAAGTGAAAGGGCAGAAGCAGTCCACCCTTCTGCTCGTTCTAATCTCTCATCCTGTCAGTATGTTCCTTGTAAGTAAATGTGTATTTATCATACCTGATTGCACCCAATTCCTGGCCCTTCTTCCAGTGTTCAGAGCCTAGAGTTCTGCTGATACAGTGGATAATAAGAGGCTGATATCAACTCAAATTTACTGTTTGATAAATAACTGTATTCAATTGTGTTTTTTTTATATTTGCTTAAAATTCAGCTTTTAGCTGTGACAACTGCAGATAGGTATGTATGAAAATCTGGTCATTGCTTGACACAAAAGCAACTGTTAAACATATGTTCAAAATGCATGGCTGCAGCCAAGGGCGGACTGACCATTTGGAAACTCGGGCACTGCCCGGGGTCCAAAGGGGGCCCCATGAGATGCCCCTGGTACCTTTTTCATAGGTTTTTTTGAGTTTGGGCAAGGACACAGGGGCCCCATGATCCCCTATTGCCCGGGGGCCCCATGAGTTGTCAGTCCGCCCCCGGCTGCAGCCTTTGCTTATGTAATATATATGTGTGTGTGTGTGTGTGTGTGTGTGTGTATGTATGTATGTATGTATATATATATATGTGTGTGTGTGTGTGTGTGTGTATATATATATATATCTATATCTATCTATATATATATATATATATATATATATATGTGTGTGTGTGTGTGTATATATATATATGTATATATATATATATATATATATATCACTCACCAGCCACTTTTATTAGGTACACCTTGCTAGTGCCAAGAAAATACCCCCCCGCACATCATTACATCACCACTGTCAGCCTGAACCGTTCATACAAGGCAGGATGAATCCATGCTTTCTATGTTGTTTACATCAAATTCTGAGCCTGAATTTCGGAGCAACCACTCTGCCCATTCTCCTCGGACCTCTGACATCAATAAGGCATTTTTGTCCACACAACTGCCACTCGCTGGATATTTTCTCTTTTTTGGACCATTCTCTCTAAACCCTAGAGATGGTTGTGCTTGAAAATCCCAGTAGATCAGCAGTTTTTGAAATACTCGAGCCAGCCCGTCTGGCACCAACAACCATGCCACATTCAAAGTCACTTAAATTCCCCTTTCTTATCCATGACCTTCACCATATCTAGATGCCTAAATGCATTGAGTTGCTGCCATGTGATAAGCTGATTAGCAATTTGTGTTACCAAGCAATTGAACAGATGTACCTAATAAAGTGGCCAGTGAGTTTATAAATATTTTAGGCAAGTCAGAAATCTATAATATAATCTATGTACTACTATAGTTTAGATATCAAACCTGTATAGTGTACAAATATGACCTTTAGCAAATATTTCACTCTTTGGCTGAGAAAATAGATATTGTTACTCCACAGAATCCCAAACAAGTATAACCGGTTTACTGAACATATTTGAAAATGAATATACTTTTACCTTCCTTACAGAAGTCTTTTGCCAGTCCAACACAAATTTACAATGAAAGTGTGTTTCTCATAATACATGGTTATGAATGATATTGTTATTAAATGTTGCTAAAAAAACTACAATAATGATTTACTCTCTCATTGTTGACAACTGTTAAAGAAGACCTACAGTACATTATTAGTAGCCAGGCATGAAAGAAGGGAAATTCTGTCAGTTTGGGTTATTGACATCTCAATGCCATTTGCTTTTGTACACTCTATAGCCTACACCAGGAGAACTGAGAGTGATAATTATGTTTAACAATATTGCAAACAGTTTTTAGAAAGTCATGTTTGTTAAGTAAGTAATACTTTCACAAACAGTTGAGATTCATATATAGATAGGTAAAATATCTTAATGTAAGTTAATTAGTAGCCAGTTATTAAAAGATATTACTTAAATGATAAGTAACTGATTTTAAAGTCAGGATCTTACCAGACCCTGAGTGATATCAGCCGACAGCGGGCTTTAGCTTTAGCCCGCTGTTGGCTGAAAACGGGTCACAGGAGTGAATGAAATTAATGAAAATAGCTTTGGCCATACTTCTTTAACAGCTTCCGTGCCACCCTATAGCAGAAATACTGCTACAGGGTGGCACAGGTGCACCAAATCACGTATATGTATACGATTTTGCAGTACCGGGTAGGGGACGCGTGCGCTCCTTGCCCACGCCGCCATTTGCGGCCTCGGCTGTCAATCACCGGGTCCTAGCTGGTGATTTCTCGCCGACACCCGGTGATCGACAAGTATCTCCGACAGGGGAGAGACCTGTGTATAAACACCACAAATCTCTCCCCTGTCAGCTCCTGAACACTTTTTTGTATGGCTCTGCATAGCACAGCCATACAAAGCAGTGTGCTTACAGTGAAACACAGTACACTTAGTAAAACACACACAGCACACAGTTAACCCTTTGATCGCCCCAAATGTTAACCCCTTAATACAGTGTCAGTGCTTTTTATTAGTACTGATCACTGTATTGGTGTCACTGGAGATGTTAGTGACCCCAAGTCAGTTCCCCCCCCCCCCCCCCCCCAGTGTCAGCCCACCATAGTCCTGCTATATGTCACTGATCACCGGCATTACTAGTAAAAAAGAAAAAAAATTCCAGTATCTATACCGCCATTTGTAAACATAACTTTCATGTAAATTAATTAATTTACACTTATCAGGATTTTTTTTAGCAAAGACATGCAGCAGAATACATTTTGGCCTAAAGTTATGAGGAAATGAGATTTTTACATTTTTTTTTACTGGATATGTTTAATAGCAAAAATTCCTAAATGTTTTTTTCTCAAAATTGTCGGTCTTTTTTTGTTTATAGTGCAAAAAAAAATAAAAACCGCACAGGCAACCAAAAGAAAGCTCAATTTGTGGGAAAAAAGGACTAAAATTTAATTTGGGTGCAGTGTTGCATGACCGCACAATTGTCAGTTAAAGTAATGCAGTGCCGTAACACAAAAAAATGGCCTGGTCAGGAAGGTGGGTAAATCCTCGAGGGCATGTGGTTAATGTAGTGCGATGCCGTATAGCAAAAAATGGCATGGTCAGGAAGGTGGGTAAATCCTCAAGAGGGCATGTGGTTAATGTAGTGCGATGCCGTATAGCAAAAAATGGCCTGGAAAGGGGGTAAAATCTCCCTGGAGGATGAGCAGTTAAATAAAGTCTGTGAAAACATTAGAGCAATCAATGGGAACCTCAAATTCCCATTGTTCTCTAAATGTTTCCTCTAAGGATTTGAAGCTACAACTTGCATGACCGTGCAATTGTCCGTTAAAGTAATGCAGTGCTGTAACACAAAAAAAGGTCTGGTCAGGAAGGGGGGTAAATCCTCAGGAGGCCAAATGGGTTAAGTAAGCAATATTTTCACAAACAGTTACTTGAGATTCATATATAGATAGGTAAAATATCTTGATGTAAATTAATTAGTAGCCAGTTATTAAAAGATACTATTTAAATAAGTAACTAATTTTAAAGTCAGGATCTTTCCAGAGCCTGAGTGATGTCCGCCAACAGCGGTTGGTTGAAAATGGAACACAGGAGCGCGGAATGCATGAAAATAGCTTTGGCCATAACTTAGGTATGTGCTAGCACCTCCAGTCACTGGGAGGCTGATTATGAAAAACCCCAGAAGGAGGGAATAGAGAGAGTGTGAGAGAGAGAGTGTGAGAGAGAGAGAGAGAGAGAGTCTCAGGTACATGTCCTATCCATGCTGCTAAATCCAGGTCAGAAGGGACTATTATGCAAGTATTCCTATATTCTAACAGTCTAACTGTAGCTTCCCATTGCTTGTTGAATATGTTTCTGAATCCCTGTGACAGAGTATCTCTATCTTATTGTTGTCTCACATGCACAGTGTCAGCTTGGTGTCTGTGGGCTCATTCCTGAACCAGGCTGTGTGAGTCCATAGATACACACAGCATGGTTAGACCACCCTTCCTTCTGACAGGATTTGACAGCAGCTGGAACTCCTGCTGCTATTACTGCAGCCTGTGAGGACAGAAACCCAGAAAAGTGTTGCCACTGCTATGGTTTTGTCTGACTGAATGCGGATCAAACAACCCTCCAGTCAGTAGGTCCAGCATCACAGGGATAACCATATCACCTGGAGTACCAGAATATTTATCAGGAGATGAGATTTTTCGGGAGCCCTAGTCCCCTTAACCAACAAGGTGTCTCTGACTGACAACAACGGAATGTTGCATTTAAGGGGTTTAGAATGGAGATTCCAGCATTTTGGAGTAGGCAGAAGGCACAGACACACCTCCCAGCCTCATTGCCAGCAGCCTTTAAGACACTATAAATGACTGAAAGCTGATGAGGCTGGACGGTTACTAATGTTTACGGAAGTATGTGGAAGGTACGAATGCCCGGAACACAAGTAGTCTCTCATAGAATTTGCCAGCAGCAGGGCATGACAGTGTGCCTGTGCCTTCCATCCACACCAAAACACCAGGATCTCATGCATAGGAATTAAGCACCCATTGTGCACGAGACCTTAAAGGTAGGTGAATTACAAAGTACTAGTCATGGATTAATAATAAAAAAAAAAAATGATGCGACGTGGTGAACCACGTTGGGCGGAGTGCCATCTTGGTACACCCGGTTATACAGAGTACACCCATACTTAGTGGTGTGACAGCCTGCTTTGATCTACCTGAATGCGAGTGCATAACTTGGCGTTTTTACATGTTTACACCATAATAAACACTGTTGCACTATGGGAGACCTGTTTTTTGTCCTTTCATGGCCTTAATGTGGTACTCATGTATTAGCCTGCACTGCATTTATCCATGTATGGAAGAGGGATTAGTACTGGAAGCAAGTTACCAGTGAGGGTCTGTGGAACCAGAGGAGAGTTGTTTCCTGTGTAGGATCCAGGGTGATCCAAAAGGCGCGTTGACCCGCTTGGGTCGCATTCAGGAGGTGAGGGGGCATGCCTGCAATTTAAGGATATCTACTCACCATTTGCAGTAGCACTGAAGCACCTTTTTGAAGATAAAAGCACCTCTTTGCATTTATTGCAATTTTTTCATTTTTTTGCATCCTTTTTGGACACTTATTTATTTGTTTCTGTGTTTATTCATGATTATTCATGATATTGTATTTGGTTTGGGTATTTGAGCACCAGTCACTTTATTTGTCATATATCCCTCATTTGGGATTCACCATATACTGTACATCACCTAGTATTTGGGGGATTTGTCCCAGTTGGGATTGGTCGTTGTCACTTATTAGGGCCCTTGATTGGGACCAGTTTATTAAATGCACTTTGTCATTATCACTGCTGAAGACACTCCTCATTAGATCTTGAAGGATCTATCACTCATATTTATCTTATTTATTATTTTTCATGTTTGTAATTGTGTGATTTGTATATTTAGTTTTTAGCGTTACACCATTTTTTTTATTATTGTTTGCACTTGTCCACATATAGGTAGAGGATAGGGTATCAGCTGCTTATGATTATTTTATTCAGGTTTCCTTATCAGCGCAGGGGGATCTCTGTTATACTAGTCATGGATTAACACCTTCCCGTCTGGCCTATAGCAGATTGACGGCCGGGTGGGACACTCCTCATTGTAACTGGGCGTCATATTATGTCCTGTCAAAACGAACTGCTCACGTGGCCGATAGGCCGCGCAGCGGCATGATCTGTCACCGACTGGGTCCATGCGACACAGCCGATGACCTATCACTACCACCGGCCCATTGTCAGTGTCATGTTACCACTGTGACCAATCACAGCATATCGCATGTCAACTGTATACAATGGGTGACTTCCTGTCATGCCATCCATTGTATACAATTATGTTGTTATCTGTGGCTGGTCAAGGCAGTCACATGATACAGACAGGGCCAATCACAGCCCATCTGTATCATGTCATCTGCTTTGCCTAATCACAACAAAACACTGAATTAATCAGTTCCATTCAGTAACAATGATTGCAAATATCAATGAAATACATTAGTATTATTATCAAACATAATGTGTTAAAAAAAAAAAAAAATCCTGATCACTTGCCCAGAGTAGTTCAATCTTACTATGGTAACATTGTATTGCTTTGGTCACAGTGTGCTGAAAAATAAAATGGTAAAAAAAAAGAAAAAAAAAGTGATTAAAAAAAAGAAACATTTGAAAAAAATACAAATGTAATTATTATTTTCATGTAGCAGAATACATTTTGACAAAGTTATGAAGAAATGTTATTTATTTGCAAAATTGTATAACAAACGAAGAAAAGTGTGGGGTTTTTTTTTTTTTCAAAAGTTTCACGTGTTTTTTGTTTTATTTAGCAAAAAATAAAAAAATTCAGTGATGATTAAATACCACCAAAAGAAAGCTCTATTTTTGTGAAAAAAAATGATAAAAATTTCCTATGGGTACAATGTTGCACGACCGCGCAATTGTCATTCAAAGTGCAACAGCGCTGAAAGCTGAAAATTGGCCTGGGCAGGAAGGGGGTAAAAGTATCTGGTATTGAAGTGGTTAAAAACTATTGTCCCAGCTACTGGACCACATAACAAGACTCAAGACATGTAAATAATTGCTTTCATCAACGGCATACATAAGGAAGGAATGCTGTGTGTCAGATGTGCTCATTGATTTCCAACCTAAACCCCCAAAATGTTTTCAAGCATTTTAGAGATCTTGAATATCTCTGATTTATAAAATTAAAACATACAGCCATAAAATACCATGTCATACCGTCTTGTAAGTATTTTCAAAACCAGGGCAATTTTGGAGGTTTTAGTAGAATCATAGATAATGATATTTTAAAAGAATTACTCGAGACACCTTGAAGCTCAGCTGCTTTTACAGTAGACAGCTGCCAATACATTTTCAGTAATCAAGCCCAATCCCTGGGCTTTGTGTACTGTGTGAGCCGATGCTCACTTATCAAGTTGATGGACCATTGGCATTATTGTGGTATAATGTAAAGGGAACAAGATAAGGGGTCAGACTGACTTTATTTAGAGAGAAGCAATATTTCAGCGGGGTGATTGGCATGGGAAAAGCGCAAATACAGACAGGCCTCACAACAATTTAATATAGATATGCAAATACAACTTGATTTTAACCACTTCCTGTCCGCCCTATAGCAGAAGCACTGCTACTGGGCGACATAGGTGCCCAAAATCACGTATATAAATACACATGATTTTGCAGTTCCGGGTAGGGGGTGCGTGCGAGGAGTGTGCGAGCCCTACCTGCGCCACCATTTGCGGCCTCGGCTGTCAATCACAAGGTCCCGGATGGTGATTACTTTCCGGTGCCCGGTGATTGCTGAGCATCTCCGACAGGGGAGAGAACTGTTTGTAAACAGTGCTTTGTTTGTAAACAACAAAGCACAGCCATGCAAAGCAGTGTGCTTACAGTGAAGCACACACACAGGACACCATGTAAAATGGCACACAGCACACAGTTAACCCTTTGCCCCACATGTTAACCCCTTCCTGCCCAGTGCCATTAGTATAGTGTCAGTGCTTTTTATTAGCACTGATCACTGTATTGGTGTCACTGGGGATGTCAGTTCAACCCAGTGTCAGCATGCCCACCACAGTTCCACTATAAGTCGCTGATTGCCGCCATTACAAGTAAAAATAAAAAATAAATCCCAGTATATATACTGCAATTTGTACATTTTATGACGAAATTTGAATTTTTACATTTTTTCACTGGACATGTTTTAATAGCAAAAAGTCAAAAATAGTTTTTTTTTTTTTTTTCTTTTTTCAAAATTGTCTTTTTTTTTTTTTTTTTAATAGCGCAAAAAATAAAAAACACACTGGCAATCAACACAGAAAGAAAGCTCTATTTGTGGGGAAAAAAAGTACGTAAATTTAATTTTGTTGCAGCGTTGCATGAGTTCGCAGTTGTCAGTTAAAGTAACGCAGCGCCATAACGCAAAAAAATGGCCTGGTCAGCAAGGGGGGTAAATCCTCAGGAGGGCAAGTGGTTGATACTTTATATTCTCTCCAGTTTTTCTGAAAGAAAATAGATTTGCAACCCTACTAGGCCAGGAGCAGAGCTTAAAGTGGAACTTTAGTCAGAGAATTATGTCCTGCTAGATCACATCAGGCAGGTTCCTTTTAAAAGTGCAGTTGATCTAGGTCTGAGTGGAAAATGCAAGGAAAATAAACAGTATTTTTGTTTGATCATGACTGGATGAAAGAAATTAGCAGAACTTTGTCTCATATCAGAGCTTCCCCTTGGATCTAAAGCAACTGCACTTGCACTGCATTCAGAGCTCACTTGCAGGTGTACAGTATATTTATCTTTAGTAAATCAACCCCATTGTCTCCGCCTGCCCTGCACATGCTCAGTTGCAGTATTTTTGGCACTGTGCTGAAAATAAGAACCACTAGAGGCCAATCTGCAACAGCCTAAAGATTTATTGGTTCTTAGGAACTCAGGGCTTCAGCAAAATGGCAGCCTCCAGCAAGAGGAACCAGGAGCAATCATGGAGGCAATTTACAGCATGCACCCATTTTCATGGCATCATTATTGTGTGTTTCTTGCTAAAGAGCATTATTTTTTCTTATCACATCATTATGGGTAAAGTTACACTTTGAATACAACTTAAAAGTACTGACATTGAGGATTGATTTTTTTGGGCTGCATGCGTATATTAACCATTTGCCCTCCAGAAGATTTACCCCCCTTCCTGACCAAGCCCTTTTTTTGAAATACGGCACTGCATTACTTTGACAATTGAGTGGTCATGTAACGCTGCCATCCAAATGAAATTTATGTCCTTTTTTTCCACACAAATGGAGCTTTCTTTCGGTGGTATTTGCCTGTGAGTTTTTTTTTTTTTTTTTTGCGCTTTAAACATAAAAAGACCAGCAATTTTGCAAAAACAAATAATATTTTTGACTTTGTGCCATAAAAAATATCCAATAACAAAATTACAAAATTCAAATTTCTTCATAAATTTAGGCTAAAATGTATTCTGCTCCTTGTCTTTGCTAAACAAAATCCCAAAATGTGCAAATTAATGGGTTTACATGAAAGGTATAGCATCTATAAATGGCGGTATAGATACTGGAATTTTTATTTCAATTTTTTTATTATACTAGTAATAACGGGAATTGCTAGCCGGGACCCGGTGATTGACATTCCCAGCCACCAATAGCGGTGCGGGTAGGGTGGCACATGCGCCCCCTACCCGGAAATGCAAATGACGCGTGTGTGTGTGTAAATAATATAAATATATATATATATATATATATATATATATATATAATATATATATATATATATATATAATATGATTTTACACAGCCGAGCTGCCCTGTAGCAGTGCTTCTGCTATAGTGAGGATGGCAATTGGTTAAAGGAATATTATGCCATCTATGCTAAATCATTCTGACAAGAGCTGGCAGAAAAGTCCATGCTTGTTTGCACATGTAATTTGGCTATGCACATTCATGTTGTATGCCATTTAGAAGCATATGCACATAAACAGTCCATTGGCTGAAATACTCATATATTCTAGTCGCTAGAATGAAATTATGCACATTGCTGCCATGGCTGTGGAGCAAAGCATCATGACTGTGGAATGTGTACATCCTGGCTGTTGTCTCCTCAGCTAAAAGGGAGCTCTTGGGGGTTGATAAAAATGCATCTCAATCATGTGGTTTTTACCACCCTTCAACCACTAGTTTAAACGCACCCTTAAAGTTATGTTATTTCTGCTTTTGTTGGCAGACTCTGCAAACACATCTACTTTTGTGGATACTGTCTAATTGTATCTGCAGGGGTGGACTGACCATTTGGAAACTCGGGCATTGCCCGGGGTCAGTAGGGGGCCCCATGAGATGCTCTTGGTACCTTTTTCATAGGCTTTTTTGAGTTTGGGCAAGGACACAGGGGCCCCATGATCCCCTATTGCCCGGGGGCCCCATGAGTTGTCAATCCGCCCCTGGGTATCTGTGTTAATACTAATGGCTTTAAGTTTTGAGGTACTTACACTTGTCACTGCTTTTTAGCAAACCTAAGGTGAAAGTTTTTCTTATAGGCTGAAAAAAAATCTGATAATATACAGAATAAATGTTTGTGACAATATTTACACCATAATCTTTTTTTCAATATTAACATGTTACATTTTCTTATATATGAAAGCAAATTCTCTATATGTATTTTACATGGGTAAAATGTTTAAACGCTACATAAATGAAATGCATTGCTAAAACCTGGAATGACCAGATGGCCCTCTTGTGGCTTTTTGGGTTTTCCTTTGCTAGTCCTTTCAATTATAGAGCAGAAGTTTACATACCCCATATAAAATGTGTAAAATATTACCCATTTTTGCTACATTGGCACCACAAAACTATATCCATCAACATTTTGTAGATCCCGGTATGATTGTTATAGTCCTCCCCTTGTTTCTTTCTTGTTTAGTCTTGGTATTTCCCACAGATATCGGTCACAAATACATTGTGTCATATTCATATCAATTTTGTAAGTAATAATTGTTTGAAACCTTGTCTAGGAAACATTGTGGGCTATGCAGGAACTTGATAATGTTTTTACTGTATTCATTATTCCATACAATGTGGTCTATATAATATGGTCTATATACTGTACAGAATATGGTCTATATATATCACCAACCATCAATGAAGAAGTTAAAGTTATCTCAATGAAACGTGTGTGTGAAACTGCTCAGTTACCCCTGGTTCACATATCCATGTTCTTGCGGTTTGCGTGGGCACGAGAGCACATTCATTTGAATGGACTCCCATGCCCCAGGACATGCAGGGAAGAAGTCCCTGCACTTCTTCTGAAAACGCAGTCCGCACGGGATCCTCGGTTACCAGTACGGTTGCGATTTCCAGTGCGGGCTGCGGGCCATTAGAATTAATGGCACCCTCCCTCGGGTCCACACTTCTCTGTGCGGGTGGTGTGGATGCATGGATTTTTGTGTGGATCCGCAGCTGCACTACCCGCACATATGTGAGCCTAGCCTTAGGGCCCATTCACACTATGTGCTTCTTCGTGGATAAATGCAGGCAACTGCAATGGCACCCAGAAAAACAACAGTTTTCAATGTGTCATGTTTCAGAGCTGTGTGATATTATGCAACATGTTTGCATAATATTGCACCTCTCTAGATGGGCCTGCATGTCACTGCACAGCAAGTGCAGTGCAGTGATTTCAATGAAGTGTCACTTTGTGCACATCACAAAAAGTTTAAACAATAAAAAGGGAGCTGTGTAATGCGATAAAATGTGCATCACACCACCCGCTGCCACACAGAACTGAAGACCAGAATGGCTGCTGCCTGCACACTAAACTTCTCTGTGCAGGCTAGTGTGAACTGGCCCTTCCACACGGGGAGGAGTCTGCCAGGAGACACTTGCTCAGAGGGGAATCTGTCCTCTCATCCTCACTGAGCAAGAGGCTGGTCCATGTCCACTCCGCTTATGTAGAGCAGACACAGCCGAATGTCCCCTATGGGCAGTCAGATGTAAATGGACCGCCTGTCCATTTACACCTGTCTTCAGATCCCCATTTGTCTGTTTTTAGAGGATCATATTAGATGTAGACGAGTGCAAGCAGACACAAGTCCACTTACATCTGCTACTCCATAGTGGATAATGGAGGATCTGATCAGCTCTGTGTGAAATGGGCCTTAGTTTTGCACCATTGTTGCTACTGTGATAGAAATGTATATTTTATGATATTGCTAAATACAGTACAGAGACATATTAAATATGTAGTTTTTTTATGTTCTGAATAATATTTACTGAGACATTTTAATGGTAGATGTTTGTACCTATATTTTCAGTACTGTATTATTTGGTTTCTTGCATTTCTCTATATTAAATCATGTTAAAAATAATAGAAATGTTTGCTCTGCTCACTCATGTCCTCTTAAAAAGGGGTATGTAAATGTATGTGCTCAAACTCATAGAGCACAGTGGTCACTGATTTAAATAGCCATTACTTAAAGTGTAAATAAACTCAAAAACAAAAAAATGTACAGTAATTACAAGTCCGTAAATGAGATGGCTGAATTTATTTTTTTCTTGTCTTTGTTCTCACAAAGATTTATTTAGAAAGAATGGTGTATACATCATGTATAGACAGAGGTTGTACATTAAGGTACAGAGAACTTAGTAACATAACAAGTATGAACCGATTGATTATACATAGACATCTAAAGATGAATGTGATCTCACCTCTATGGGAGAGAGATCTGGGTTTAGAATAGAGGGAAAAACAACCAAGGAAAAAAAAACTCCTCATTTAACCACTTGAGCTCCAGAGGATTTACCCCCCTTAATGATCAGGCCTCTTTTTGCTACTCGGCGCTGCACTAATTCAACTGATCATTGCGCGGTCATGCAATGCTGCACCCAAACAAAATTTACATCCTTTTTTTTCACACAAGTAGAGCTTTCTTTCGGTGTAATTTTATCACCTGTGCGCTTTTTATTTTTCACGCTATAAACAAAAAAAGGCCAAAAATTTTGAAGAAAAACAATATTTTTTACTTTCAGCTATAAAAAATATATAGTAAACTCAAAGTTGGTTATAAATTTAGGCCAAAATGTATTCTGCTATGTTTTTGGTAAAAAAAAAT